CCCTGGAGCTGAGGCGGGCAGGGCCTGCAGCCCGGGAGGGGAGCGCTGGCGTCGGGCACAGCGCAGCCCCGGCCGCATCGCAGCCTTTACACCAAACGCAACCGACTGTATATTGAAGTAGCACCGGTTTTGAACCCCACTCCCCCATCCCTCTCTCCCCCCTCAAACTGTTCACCTAAGACCGCCTCACTTCCCTCCGCACCGGGCAGGCGGCCTAGGCTGGGGCTGCCCCAGGGCTGCCAGCCCAGGGAGGGAGGGCAAGGGTCACTCCTTCAGGATGTTACCCGGGAGAGTTGGTTGTCTAAATAAACACGATGACACGGGGAGGTCAGCAGAAAAGAGCCACCGCGTCATCAGCATCAGGGCGCACCTCAGAGCTCACGCAATTTAGGAGCGTTAATTTTGGAGGGTCATTGTTAAAGGAGAGTTAGGAGGGGACACATTAAGTGGACAAGGAAGGAAAAGGTAAATGCAGCAGGAGCACGTAATAGAGGGGATGTATGGGGAAGGTGCTGACACAGAGAGTCAGAAGAAGCTCTTTTAAGGGAAAAATAAATCAGTCAATTGGCTGCCCGCTCCCTGTAGCACAATCAGCTTCTGCCTCAATGCCCAGCTACCACCACTGTACTGCCTGACCCAAAGAGCCCAGGCAAGATCCTGCAGAAATTGTTCTCCCTGCCCTATGAGGGCAAGTGGGAAAAGGCTGGAAAAAGAACGTGCTATTTCTTAGCAGTCCAGAAGCGCTGCTTCAGCTACTTTAGAGCTCAGGCTGGAACAGGAATCATGGAATCATAGAATCATTTAGGTTGGAAAAGGCAGTGAAGATCAAGTCCAACTGTTAACCCAGCACTGCCAAGTCCATCACTAAACCATGTCCCTAAGAACCACATTTACACATCTTTAAACACTTCCAGGGATGGTGACTCCACCACTTCACTGGAGCTGAAGAAATTTTTCCTAATATCCAATCTAAACCTTCCCTGGCACAATTTGAGGCCTTTTCCTTGTGTCCTATTGTTTTTTACTTGGGAGACCAACACCCACCTCTCTGCAACCTCCTTTCAAGTAGTTGTAGAGCGGTAAGTTCTCCCCTCGGCCTGCTTTTCTCCAGGTTAAACACTCCCAGTTCCCTCAGCTGCTCCTCACAGGACTTGTGCTCTATACCCTTCCGCAGCTCCGTTGCCCTTCTCTGGACACGCTCCAGCACCTCAATGTCTTTATTGTAGTGAGGGGCCCAAAACTGAACACAGGACAGGGGCAGAATCCTTTCCCCAGTCCTGCTGGCCACGTTGTTCCTGATGCAGGCCAGGATGCCGTTGGCCTTCTTGGCCACCTGGGCACACTGCTGGCCCTTATTCAGCCGCTGTCGCCCAACACCCCAGGTCCTTTTCTGCTGGGCAGCTTCCCAGCCACTTGTCCCCAAACCTGTAGTGTTGCAGGGGGTTGTTGTGATCCAGGTGCAGGACCCGGCACTTGGCCTTGTTGAACCTCGTACGGTTGGCCTCAGCCCATCCATCCAGCCTGTCCAGATCCTTCTGAAGAGCCTCCTGCCCTCAAGCAGATCAACACTCCCACCCAAGGAGGTAAGTTGATACCAGCCTCTAGAATAAGGACAGCACCTGCTTCCCAGGGGAGGTTGAGAAGAGCACATCACTTTCTAGAAAAAGGGTTCTTGTGTTTGCTGTTGGTGAGATAACAGCTCCCAGGGCTGTTTCTCTGTAGCTAAGCTGGGAAGTTGCACATGGTATTGGTGGTGGAAAATGGAGCACAAGTGGGGGCGGGGCGGGGGGGGG